TCTAATCCTCTCGCCTCTCTCGCCCTCTTTGTTTTCTTTGCTTGCTCGAGTCTCTGGCCTCTCTCACCTCTCTGTTGCGATCCCTAGCACCTCGCTGCCTCCTCCTCTTCGAGTCTTAGAGACAATCTCTTCTCTTGCCACCACCTCTTTGAGTCCCAAGTTTTTTCTCTCTCTCTCTTAGTTGATTGTTTAAGGGTAATTCGATAGTGATTTTTCTTTTCTATCCAGATCAAGAAAGGGGTCATTGATTAGGGTTTTGTGATTTTTGAGATTAGGGCTCTATGTTGGTGCATTTTTTAGATCAAGAAAAGGGTCGTTGATCAAGAACGAGGTCATATACTATGATCCTGACCTGCATATTGTAATTATTTTTATTAATGGTTTGTTCAATTATGAGTCAACATATCTGATTTATTCATCTAATTTAGTGTGGTTGTGTTCTTTTGTTTTCTTCGGAAAGGGTGAGGCTTTTTTGCTGATAATAGGCTAGTTATCAACGAGAACAACAATGATGTACCATCGTTACCTTACTGTCCAAAATCAGTGACACGATATATATACATATCTATAAATGTCTGTCATTTTTCTATCTTAAATTTGTTGCATTGAAGGAACTATAACAAGGAGAACAATAATTATGCACCATTGTTACCTTACTATCTTTGTGGATTTCTAATATTTTATGATTTCTAAGATTTCGTTTGTGATCATAGTATATAAAATGTTGATTACTTAGACCACCAAATGGTCAGTTGCTTCTCTTAGACTACAAAATGTTGATTCCGTCTTTGTGGGTCAGAATTTAAGGTTGATTATGTCTTTATTTTTTGCTTCTTCTCATGATTTCAGTATTTTGTTTTGTTATGTTTCATTTGTTGACTTTTTTTGTTTTTGTTCACCAATCCTTATGCATGATAGTACTCCACAATCATCTGCTCAAGCTGATTCTGACAGTAACATCCAAGTTACCAATGATATTCAGGGTGAGGGCCAAGACACAAGAAAAAGATTTAGAGTTTGGGAGAATTTTGAAAAGATCGAAGCTGCAGATGAAGCTAAATGTAATCATTGCAATAAGATTTACAATTATCATCCAATAAAATATGTACTTCATCCTTGCTTTATCATTTAGATCATTATAAATCCTACTTGACGAGTGTGAATAAGAAGGGTACATCTCAATTAAAGTTAATTGGTGCATTCAAAAATGATGGAGATGGTGTTAGTAGTAACTTTAGTGTTGCTAAATACAATAAAAAGAAAATTAAGGAAGCAATTGCTATTATGATTATAGTGGATGAATTACCGTTCCGGTTTGTTGAAGCAGAAGGATTTAGAAATTTGATGAGAACTGTTGAACCTAGATTTTGTATACCTTCTTGTACGACTGTGATGAGGGATTGTGTGCAATTATATATGACAGAGAAAGAAAAATTGAAGCATATATTTGTCTCATCTAATCAAAGGGTTTGTCTTACTATTGATACATGGACCCTCTATTCAAAATCTAATATATATGTTCTTAATTGTGCATTTTATTGATAAAGACTGGAAGTTACACAAATGAATAATCAATTTTCTAAAAGTTCCTAATCATAAGGGCATCACAATTGGAAGGGAAATTGAAGCATGAATGTTTGTGTGGGGGATAGATAACATATTTACCATTACAGTGGATAATACTACTTCTAATGATGGTACTTTTGATTCTTTAAAGAGACAAACTAAGGATGAGAAGATCACTATCTTAGAAAATGTATTTATGCATGTTAGGTGTTGTGCACGCATTTTGAATTTAATTGTCATGAAGGGTTTGAAGAAAGTGAACACATCAATTTTGAAGGTACGAAATACTGTTAAATATGTAAAGTATTCTCCTTCAAGGCTTGACAAATTTAAGTCATGTGTTGAGAAGCAAAAAATTGGTGAAAAGAGTCTTTTTTGCCTGATGTTCCAACAAGATGGAAGTCTACATATTTGATGTTCAAAGTTGCTAAACAATACCAAGGTGCATTTGATTTATTGCTAGAAGATAATGAACAATTTGTAAGTTAATCGAGTGAGGAGGTGGCTTAGTGTCACCTACATTTGATGATTAGGACATTGTTTGTGTCTTTATGAAATTTTTGAAACTCTTCTATGAAATCACTTTATGCATTTCTAGATCATTTTATACCACACATTTATAATTTTTGATGTGTTTAATATAGTTTAAACTTAAAATAGTTGTTATTGTATTTGTGAAGCAATTATGATATATTAATGTTTATAACTTATGCTTTCTTGTGTTTTATTGTAATTGTTTATATATTATCAAACTTATTGTATTTTTTTTAGTATTATTGGTTTATTGCATTAGTTAATTAGTTCAAGTTAGTTAATTGAATTGGTAAAATGATCCAAAAATTAATAACTATAAACCATGTTCACCTAATTTCTTACCAAACTTCTTACTCGATTAATTTGGACAAACTTCGAGTAAGAATACTACACTTGATCGGGTAAGATAGGCCAAAAAAAATTCTTCCACAAAATATTACATAAGAGAAAAGACCATGTTTTCTACCCATAGAATAGGATGAACACCCCTACTTATTGCATCAAAATTATTAAATATCAATACATTGAATATTCATGAGATTTATTTATTTTATGTCCAAACAATCCCTAATATAATATAACTAGTCATAACTCGTGCCTGAAGACACGATAAAATATAAAATTCGAGCATCCAAAAAATCGATCCAACTTTATTAAATTTTTTCAAAATATATTAACTATAAATTAATTAAATATTAAATGATTACATATATGATAGAAATAAGTTGTGTGATATTTTTAGGAATGAAATATATAAATAATTAAATATATAATAAAAATGAGTGATGTGATTTGACGTTTGATTTTTACAAAGAGATGAGGAGTGAAGTAAGTGATTGGTAATGATTTTAATAAGAAAAATATGACTGAAATAAAATTCAAATACACTGCTGTTTTATTATATAGATGTCTATCAAATAAGATCCCCCAATTCACAATGCTAAAAAAAAAAAAAAAAATTGCACCAAAACNTCTAATCAAAGGGTTTGTCTTACTATTGATACATGGACCCTCTATTCAAAATCTAATTTATATGTTCTTAATTGTGCATTTTATTGATAAAGACTGGAAGTTACACAAATGAATAATCAATTTTCTAAAAGTTCCTAATCATAAGGGCGTCACAATTGGAAGGGAAATTGAAGCATGAATGTTTGTGTGGGGGATAGATAACATATTTACCATTACAGTGGATAATACTACTTCTAATGATGGTACTCTTGATTCTTTAAAGAGACAAACTAAGGATGAGAAGATCACTATCTTAGAAAATGTATTTATGCATGTTAGGTGTTGTGCACACATTTTGAATCTAATTGTCATGGAGGGTTTGAAGAAAGTGAACACATCAATTTTGAAGGTACGAAATACTGTTAAATATGTGAAGTATTCTCCTTCAAAGCTTGACAAGTTTAAGTCATGTGTTGAGAAGCAAAAAATTGGTGAAAAAAGTCTTTTTTGCCTGATATTCCAACAAGATGGAAGTCTACATATTTGATGCTCAAAGTTGCTAAACAATACCAAGGTGCATTTGATTTATTGCTAGAAGATAATAGACAATTTGTAAGTTAATCGAGTGAGGAGGTGGCTTAGTGTCACCTATATTTGATGATTAGGACATTGTTTGTGTCTTTATGAAATTTTTGAAACTCTTCTATGAAATCACTTTATGAATTTCTAGATCATTTTATACCACACATTTATAATTTTTGATGTGTTTAATATAGTTTAAACTTAAAATAATTGTTATTGTATTTGTGAAGCAATTATGATGTATTAATGTTTATAACTTATGTTTTCTTGTGTTTTATTGTAATTGTTTATATATTATCAAACTTATTGTATTTTTTTTAGTATTATTGATTTATTGTATTAGTTAATTAGTTCAAGTTAGTTAATTGAATTGGTAAAATGATTCAAAAATTAATAACTATAAACCATGTTCACCTAATTTCTTACCAAATTTCTTACTCGATTAATTTGGACAAACTTCGAGTAAGAATACTACACTTGATCGGGTAAGATAGGCCAAAAAAAATTCTTCCACAAAATATTACATAAGAGAAAAGACCATGTTTTCTACCCATAGAATAGGATGAACACCCCTAATTATTGCATCAAAATTGTTAAATATCAATACATTAAATATTCATGAGATTTATTTATTTTATGTCCAAAAAATCCCTAATATAATATAACTAGTCATAACTTGTGCCTGAAGACACGATAAAATATAAAATTCGAGCATCCAAAAAATCAATCCAACTTTATTAATTTTTTTCAAAATATATTAACTACAAATTAATTAAATATTAAATGATTAAATATATGATAGAAATGAGTGGTGTGATATTTTTAGAAATGAAATATATAAATGATTAAATATTTAATAGAAATGAGTGATGTAATTTGACGTTTAATTTTGACAAAGAGATGATAGATGAGGTAAGTGATTGATAATGGTTTTGATAAAAAAAATATGACTGAAATAAAATTCAAACACACTCCTGCTTTATAATATAAATGTCTANTAAAAAAAAAAAAAAAAATTGCACCAAAACAAACATAAGTATAAATTGAATTGGTCAATGGACAAAAATATTTAATTATAATTATAGTTAATCTATGGATCATATATATGTATATGATACTTACCAAACACAAGTGTGAATAAAATTTATTTATGTATTTCATGTACACAAAAATGGAAGTTGGATTTGGAATATTTTGATAAAATCAATCTACCCCCCCAACCCAAAAACAGCCAAACAAGAGACCCATATAACTCTAGCTACCAAAACAAAAGACAAAAAAAAAAAAGGAAAATAAAATACGAGTGCAGCAATAGACCCAAAAAACTCCAGTTACCAAAACCGAAGGGAAAAAAATGGAAATAAAACCCCATATAAACATTAGTCTCTCTCATGGAGGAATATTAGCATTTAGCACTACAAAGTACAAACCTCAAAAAGTACCATTTAATTTACATGCAACTACTGCACACAACTCCCACTACAATGTATCAACACCCAACAAACACAACATTACTACAAAAACAACTCGAGCAGACTTATCAAACCCAACACATTCCCAAAGGGTGGTCTAATTTAGCTCCCCTGCCTGGACACCATTTTGTGCATGTTGAGGCTGCACCTTCCTAGGCCTACCTCTCGGCCTCCCGGTCTTCGACACCGCTGTTGTCGCCGCGCTACCGGAACTTCCAGCTGGTTTCACCTTCTTGGGTGCAGGTGGTGCATTTGGGTCCTTTCTTGGCCGCCCACGGCCGCGCCTCGGCGGAGCATTTGGGTCAGGCTTCATGTAGTTGCTCTTCACCAGTACCAGCTGTCCACTCTCTTTCAGTATGTTCAAGTGCTGTGTGAGCAAGTTTGTGTGGCCGGCTGGCAAGTCCCCGTATGTTGCTTCAATATATTTTGAGATTGCTGATTTGTTTGAGCCTTCCTTATGTTTCAGTTCATCAAGGGCTGCAAAAATCATCTGAAAAAAGCACCAGAAATTAAAGTAATTGATGAACAAGATGATAATTTAACACAGACCAAATCAAATGAAATGCCCAAAAAAAAAAAAAGAAACCCAACAAAGAGTGCTACTATTAGAGTCAGTAAAGAGAGTATTTCATAATATTTAACAAATAAAAATATAATTGATTAACTATTAAGGGTTAAGAAAGAATGGTTCTTTTTTTCCCTAGAGCTTATTTAGAAACCCCATTTCAAAAACCAGTTTGAAATGCCAAAATTCAACTAAATCAGCAAAAGCCCAATGTGTGTAAATGCAAGTTTGTACATAATAGAGCTCCATTTTTTACCAAAAAAAAAAAAGAATGTTCAGAGAATGAGGGTTTCAAGAAAATGGGTCACCTAGTAATCTTTGAGGTTTCAATTTTTCTTCAAAAGAAAAAAAAAAGAGCATGCAAAACACCACTTAAAAATTCGATTTAGTGGAAGAATAGAGAGAGATTTATTACAGTTTTGAGCTCAGTTCGGAACAGTTTAAGTGAAATGAGGAATGAGGGTTAGAATGAGAACAATAGTTAGAGAGATTCAGACAAACAAGCTTAAAGTTACCTCTGGGTATGGAGGGAGAGATGGAGGTTTGGTAATCTCTTCAGTCGCCATTGAAACTTCCAGAGAGACAGAGAGAGAGAGAGAGACTGGTTTTTGAGTCCTACAACTGTAGCAGAGTCAGCTTCTCCAGAAGCACAGTTAAATTTGCTTAGGGGTACGGAAGCGAGGAGAAATGAACGATTTTTCACCTGGGAGGAAAATGGACGGTCGAGATTCATGAAATGGGCAAAATGATCGAACCGTTGGAATTGGTATTTGTGGGGTTCACCGGATCGATGACGTGGCTAGGAACTGTTTGGGAATTTTGATATTTGATTCAGAAGTCCAGATTACCAAAATATCCTCCTTTTTTTTTTTTTTTTTTTGGGGTATATGGCGACCCAATTCTGTCCCAGTGCAGTCGGGTAAGATTGGTATTTGTGCTATTTTTAAATTGTATATTCGATTAAAATTTATTTAATTTCACACCTAATCTATTCATAATTGTGTATAATGAATTTTATAATATGTATAAATTGTATTTAATGAGCTTTTATGGTGCTTAGACATATTTTTATCGACTTATTTGTTCAATAAATTTAATAGGTGAATCTATTTTCTCACTCAAATATGCTAAGAATAAATTTAAATTTATTAATTTCTTGTCAATTTCATATCAATTATTCAAAACTATTAGATCTGTTTTGTGTTTATATAATCCACACAACATTGAATTTGTAACAGACAGCCAACCCGACAGTAACTTACTTTNGATTTCGTTTGTGATCATAGTATATAAAATGTTGATTACTTAGACCACCAAATGGTCGGTTGCTTCTCTTAGACCACAAAATGTTGATTCCGTCTTTGTGGGTCAGAATTTAAGGTTGATTATGTCTTTATTTTTTGCTTCTTCTCATGATTTCAGTTTTTTGTTTTGTTATGTTTCATTTGTTGACTTTTTTTGTTTTTGTTCACCAATCCTTATGCATGATATTACTCCACAATCATCTGCTCAAGCTAATTCTAACAGTAACATCCAAGTTACCAATGATATTCAGGGTGAGGGCCAAGACACAAGAAAAAGATTTAGAGTTTAGGAGAATTTTGAAAAGATCGAAGTTGCAGATGAAGCTAAATGTAATCATTGCAATAAGATTTACAATTATCATCCAATAAAATATGTACTTCATCCTTGTTTTATCATTTAGATCGTTATAAATCCTACTTGACGAGTGTGAATAGAAGGGTACATCTCAATTAAAGTTAATTGGTGCATTCAAAAATGATGGAGATGGTGTTAGTAGTAACTTTAGTGTTGCTAAATACAATAAAAAGAAAATTAAGGAAGCAATTGCTATTATGATTATAGTGGATGAATTACCATTCCGGTTTGTTGAAGCAGAAGGATTTAGAAATTTGATGAGAACTGTTGAACCTAGATTTTGTATACCTTCTTGTACGACTGTGATGAGGGATTATGTGCAATTATATATGACAGAGAAAGAAAAATTGAAGCATATATTTGTCTCATCTAATCAAAGGGTTTGTCTTACTATTGATACATGGACCCTCTATTCAAAATCTAATTTATATGTTCTTAATTGTGCATTTTATTGATAAAGACTGGAAGTTACACAAATGAATAATCAATTTTCTAAAAGTTCCTAATCATAAGGGCGTCACAATTGGAAGGGAAATTGAAGCATGAATGTTTGTGTGGGGGATAGATAACATATTTACCATTACAGTGGATAATACTACTTCTAATGATGGTACTCTTGATTCTTTAAAGAGACAAACTAAGGATGAGAAGATCACTATCTTAGAAAATGTATTTATGCATGTTAGGTGTTGTGCACACATTTTGAATCTAATTGTCATGGAGGGTTTGAAGAAAGTGAACACATCAATTTTGAAGGTACGAAATACTGTTAAATATGTGAAGTATTCTCCTTCAAAGCTTGACAAGTTTAAGTCATGTGTTGAGAAGCAAAAAATTGGTGAAAAAAGTCTTTTTTGCCTGATATTCCAACAAGATGGAAGTCTACATATTTGATGCTCAAAGTTGCTAAACAATACCAAGGTGCATTTGATTTATTGCTAGAAGATAATAGACAATTTGTAAGTTAATCGAGTGAGGAGGTGGCTTAGTGTCACCTATATTTGATGATTAGGACATTGTTTGTGTCTTTATGAAATTTTTGAAACTCTTCTATGAAATCACTTTATGAATTTCTAGATCATTTTATACCACACATTTATAATTTTTGATGTGTTTAATATAGTTTAAACTTAAAATAATTGTTATTGTATTTGTGAAGCAATTATGATGTATTAATGTTTATAACTTATGTTTTCTTGTGTTTTATTGTAATTGTTTATATATTATCAAACTTATTGTATTTTTTTTAGTATTATTGATTTATTGTATTAGTTAATTAGTTCAAGTTAGTTAATTGAATTGGTAAAATGATTCAAAAATTAATAACTATAAACCATGTTCACCTAATTTCTTACCAAATTTCTTACTCGATTAATTTGGACAAACTTCGAGTAAAAATACTACACTTGATCGGGTAAGATAGGCCAAAAAAAATTCTTCCACAAAATATTACATAAGAGAAAAGACCATGTTTTCTACCCATAGAATAGGATGAACACCCCTAATTATTGCATCAAAATTGTTAAATATCAATACATTAAATATTCATGAGATTTATTTATTTTATGTCCAAAAAATCCCTAATATAATATAACTAGTCATAACTTGTGCCTGAAGACACGATAAAATATAAAATTCGAGCATCCAAAAAATCAATCCAACTTTATTAATTTTTTTCAAAATATATTAACTACAAATTAATTAAATATTAAATGATTAAATATATGATAGAAATGAGTGGTGTGATATTTTTAGAAATGAAATATATAAATGATTAAATATTTAATAGAAATGAGTGATGTAATTTGACGTTTAATTTTGACAAAGAGATGATAGATGAGGTAAGTGATTGATAATGGTTTTGATAAAAAAAATATGACTGAAATAAAATTCAAACACACTCCTGCTTTATAATATAAATGTCTATCAAATAAGATCCCCAATTCACAATGATAAAAAAAAAAAAAAATTGTACCTAAAAAAACATAAGTATAAATTGAATTGGTCAATGGACAAAAATATTTAATTATAATTATAGTTAATCTATGGATCATATATATGTATATGATACTTACCAAACACAAGTGTGAATAAAATTTATTTATGTATTTCATGTACACAAAAATGGAAGTTGGATTTGGAATATTTTGATAAAATCAATCTACCCCCCCAACCCAAAAACAGCCAAACAAGAGACCCATATAACTCTAGCTACCAAAACAAAAGACAAAAAAAAAAAAGGAAA